AGAGTACTGTAGCTGTTGTGAGTGGGAAATAGCTCTTGGAATTATTTTCATTAGTTTATCGCATTTTAATCATAATACTCTGATTTTGTAACACTAGGGGGCGAACGTTGTTTCTTTTATTATTATGTGTTGTTAAATGAGAGTTAGACGTTATACTCTTGATGATTGAATTAATTGTTGATGTTGGAGGCTTTTTCCATATTTGCTTTAATTTCAAAGAAAGTATTTTATTGAGACTTATTAATTGAGTAACATGCTTATTGATGATTTCTGTTGCGATGATACCCTAAGTGAAGGTGAGCATGTGATGACATGTGTTTATGCTATGTTATGTTATATTTTATTTAACCCGTGTTACAAAGAATGTGTTGTATGTTGTTTGTTTTTCCGTTGCATCTTTCTATCTGCCTTTGATTTGTTGAAGGATTGTTGTTGATGACACCTTAGATTGTCGTGTAATTCTTAATATATAAGTTTTGGGGTTTAGGGTGTTACATGGAATACATTTTCCCATTACGAAAGCAAATTTCTGATCGAGTTGGATGTGAAAATAGTGAGATCTCTCGAAGATATTAGTAGGATCTTGGAACGTCCACCTCGACACTGATATGTTTCATTTATGTATTGTCTGATTATTTATGTAATGTTTCATCTTTTAAGTTATCAATTTTAATTTTAAGTTTAATGTGCATCAATATGCATTTGTGTTCTTGAATATGCGTTTCAGTATATTTTAGAGATGCATCTTCGGAATCAATGCAAAATATTATTTAGGATGTTATCAAAAGCGAATGTGATATGTGTTCTTTAGGTGCATCCGGAGATACATCTCCCGAATCTTGTATTATTTTGAGTTTTTCAATAGAGTGTAGTAGCAATTCATAAGACGCATCTAACAATCCCCTAATTTTAAGACCCAAAATCTACATTTCATTTAATTTTTTAGATCAACCCGTATAGAATAGTCCATTTTGTCAGCTATAAGCATGAGCACCAGTAATTTACCAACTAAAATATACAAGTATAAATTATTAGAGATATAGTTAGAATAATTAGTTGTTGTTTTTAATGTACGTAATTTATTACTTGTAAGTAATTTATTACTTTAGTTAGTTGTTCTTACTCGTTATATAATTTTTTTACTTCATTATAAAATAATAAAATTCTATCAATATTTAATATATATTTCATCATCACGCCCATTCATAGCTTTTATACAAAAATGTAATTTTTTTTTAAAATTTAGTTCGTGTTTAATTCATCCTTATCGAATTGAATTTTAAGATGAAAATTATCTTTAATTATAAAAATAGGGAATTTCTTATTTCATCTCATATCTAAAAGAAAGGTCCTTTACAATTCTGAAATTACCCTCGAAAATCATAAATACATTTCCAGTTTGCATCATATATTTTATAAAACAGACTAAATGTGATTTCACCATTCAAAAATGTAAAAACAAAATCAGAGATATACTTCCGGTTTTGCATCGATTGTGATATTGGTGTTATTCAATGATGTTTATTTAGTTTATGCGTAGCACAAAATTAGAATTACTTCTCGGGATCAAAACCAAAAATTAAATTTCGGTTTCAATGTATAATTTATCAAATTTTGGTGTGCATCAGAAATATACTTCCGATTTGAGGATCATTTAAGGAATTTCGCGTGATACGTAAGAAAATCATGGGGTGGAATAAGAAATCTCCTAAAAATAAAAGCATACCATATGTTATTCAATGCAAGATTATTCAACACCCCATCAAGCCCAACAAACCTTGTTCTCTATCTCCGTCTTCGCGAGAGAAGTTTTCCATCTTTGAAACCCTAAACAAAGAAATTCTCGTAGAATCCCTACCAGCAGATGCAACTTGAAATCCTTAATACATACATGTATATAAAACTAATGTTAGTAGCTAAAATAGGGTGAAAAAAAATAAAATTCAAATCTTAATCAACAATAAAAGAAGGCAATTTCTTTTCCCACCTCTATTCCTTCTCATAAATTTTTGGTGAAAATCTAAAAATATCTCTAGAGTTCGGAGACGCATCTCCTGACGCACCCATTCCCTATTATACTTAATTTTAGTTTGGAGAAGCATCTCCAAAATTATATTTGATATACTTCAAAGATGTATATCCGAAAATAACTCTGATACTTCAAATGAAAAATAAAAACATAAAAAATATGAGTATGAGCAAGCTCTACAAACCATAACAAATTGAAATTAAATTAAAACACTAAATATTACGTAGATGATTCTTAATATAAATTTAACATTACATATCATTATAAACGGGTAGTTCAGGACATTGCAACATGGATAATATCTTCGACAAATCTTGTAATCTTTGCATCCACTTCAGTCTAACCCTTCGTTGCATAACGACGAAAAGTACTCCATATAACCTCTAATTCTCCATCCGTCTTTAGTTCGAAGATGGTGAACAGTATCTTCCCATCGATGTCAAATGAGGGTGAATGATATTCAAGATTGACAACTCATTGATTTTTTGGATATCTTAGGAGAGTATTTAGTTTGGGTATTAGGTTGGTGAGAGTTATGTCCTGCACACCCTAAACTAAAGTGGCAGCTTCTCACCCTTGAAATACACAAATGCAAGGTGAGGACATGTATTCATTTTATGATTTTGGATGTTTGGTAGAAAATATGGGATGAAATACACCCTATTTATACAAGTCTTGGATCACTCTGGACCTTAGAAACCTTATCATGTCATCATAACACTTTTCAGAGATGCATATATAGATAAACCTTTGTAAATTACGAAAAAATGTGTATTTGGATATGCACATCCGAAAAGTGTGCAATTGTTTTTTAATTATAATGGGGTTTATCCGGATATGCATATCTAGAATCTACCCTGAACCAAAAACATACCAGAAACTTAGAAAACATAAATAAAAGTTATAAACCATAAAATATGTAAAAAGAAATAGTCGACATTTACGCCATAATTGTTGAATATATCACTTATGTATTAAATCGTATCAAGATTACATCGTTGACGATTATACATTAAAAAATGTATCGATTACAATCTAAAATGCATCAAAAGATGCATCGCCACATAAATCTACGACTAGTTCCTCCTTCAACTTTACCTTATTTGATTCTCTATCAAGCTCGCTCAATTTGGTGAATTCTTCCATCCTTTCCAAAAATTGATCCGACCAAGTTTATGTCTCTTTTTTTAAATGTGTCATCCACTCTAATGATGTACTTGGTATAGAACACCCCAGTTTCAAATAAACCTTAACAAAATGTAGCGATTTTGAAAGATACCCTATACACATGATGTGTCCCGAGGATCTTTAGATGGGCCGCTCCGAAGTGGAAAAAATGTCTCAGAAAAACCATATCTTGTTAGATCGATACACACCATGTCATATACACTTGCTATAAGATGACCCATTTTAGGGAAGCACATCAATTTCGAAAACGGTGCGGGACCGCTAACACAAGAAGTAAAAACATCTTTAATTGCATCAAAATGTTCTTTTTTCCCGTATAATATTGTGTAGAATTCCTTATGCATCGTCAAATCTTTCAAAAGTTGTTGGCGGATAAGAAAATGATTCTCATCTCGTTTACGGAGCAAGCCGGATACGACCCGATAACTGTAATTACCATCTTCTTTAACATTTACAATTTGCTCAATGTGTTTGTGTATAAAAGAATCGGTAGAACATATGTGCCACTTCTCTCGCATCTCATGGTTACAAATGCTTTCCTTTAGTTAGAACCATTATTGGACCTTTCAATTATAATGCCAAATCCAAATTTCCCTGCCTCTACGCAGACCCATTCAAGCATATGTTCACGAGCAGTAAACAATTGTTCATTTATAAACTATTGACCAACATCTATCTCGACATCAACAGGTCTAGCATACAGTTTAGCATCATCATTCACTTCATCTGGTTTAGCATCATTCTTCACCTCATATGGTTTAACATCTTCCTCCACTTCATCAAGTTTTACATCATTACTTACAACAACTTTGAGAAAGATATCAGAGTGCACCATATCTAATATAAACAAAAACAAAAAACGATTAAAAAAATCACAATAACGGGAAAATTTGGAGATGCATCTCCGAAATATTTAACAGGTGAATTCAGAGATGCATCTCCGGACTCAACATTCATTTTTTTAGCTCAAGAACAAGATTAATGCAAGCAATGGAGTATGAGATTAATGAACTTTACTTTAAATTGCATCTTATTTTGCTCATTTTGATGTGATAAAACACAAGAATGATAATTTGGAGTCGAAAAGTTGATTGAAAATGAACTTTTTAAGGGTTTTGGGTTATGAAAGAGGTAAGAAGTATGGGAGAGATGATCATGCAAGGTGACATTCAATTTCCTGCTTTACATTTTTCAGATATACATCTCTACTAAATGATTAAATGATAAATCTCAATGAAAAACACTTGGTAAACGCGTTCAAGAGTATTTTCGAAGATGCATTTTCGAATACATCTCCAAAATATTCTCAGATGCATCTCTGAATTAAATTTTAACAAAAAATGAGGCGACTGCTTGATTTACAAAAAATAAGATGATTTATAGTGTGTCCAAAAATACATATCCGAAAATATTTAAAAATATTTTCGAGTTTTTAAAGATGTGAACCACCTCATATAAGTCATAAGGGTGGAAAGAGAAATTACATATAAGAATGAGATTTTGGCCCATGGGCCTTAGCCTTATAGTTTCTTTTTCCCCATATCCAATTATGCGGATTCTTAAAAAAGAAGAAAAAAAGGGTAGTTTGTTGTCTTGCCAACTCACCGGTTACAGTAGTAAGACTTACGCCTATTAGCAACCAGCCAAACCACTACACCGTATTGCTCTCACCAGAATCTCTCTTTTTCTCGAAATTCTCTCTTTTTCCCAAGAAAACCCATGCGCCCAAATTTTTGAACTGAAACTAGACTTCATATCTTGTCTTACACGTTCAATCAAATCGATGAGACCAATTCAACTCCCTGAACCGCCGAGCCCTACCGCCCATAGAGGTACTCCTGATATCTTTGAATCTGGAGTTCATACCTTCGTCCGACGCGCCGTCGTTATCGGTAACGGTTTCTCCGCCTCCGAGAATCAGAGTATCGGATTGGTTCACGCACTTGGTTTCTCTGAGAACTATTTCTTATATGTAAGCCTATTATAACCTCTCTGTGCTACTTTGTGAAACTATAAGTTGTGTCATTATTACTAGGTTAGGACTTAATTGTATGATTATTATTATTGTAGTCAAGGTTTTAAAAAACCGTCCGTTTCCGCGAAAACGGTCGCGACAAAATGGTTATGGAAGATGCCAATACCGATACAGTTATCACTGTTTTCAATATTGAAGAACAAATTGTGGTTAATTCACACCGCGATGACATCCATACCTGTACCAACCGAAATCGCGAAAACCTTTACGCGACTGCGACCGTTTTTTAAAACCTTGATTATAGTTAGTGAGATTTGCTATATAGAAATTGGAATATGAAAACCTAAACGGTGAATTTGATCATTCAATTACAAACGTGATTATGTTTAATTTATTATTTTTTAAAAAATATTACCGGCGTCGACGTGCCTGTATAGGTGTCATGTTTTCGGTGTTGGCTAGGTTTATTTTTGCCTCAGGAAGATTTCATTGAGAGAAAGATATACTATGGAGTGCAAAACTCTAACAATTGCTATGTTATTGGGGTCATATCCAAATCTGACACCTCTATGCGGATGATACTTCTTGAATAATGTTCTCAAATAGAGGCAATGGTTTTAGCGTTTTTTTATTGTTCCGTCATATGTTATTTAGTACAAAGTGATAGAATTAGTACATTAGACAGTAAGCAATAGAATTAGAATTGAGTCACACAACTTATTTGCAAAAGGATTAATGATATGTTTGTTGCATTTTGACATTTGATTGGGGAAAAATGCATTTGTGAGATATTTACATGGAGGATAATAAGTTTTTCTTATGGAAAAACCTATTTGTCAGTTTGATGAAATAGTTGCTATATTGTAGCAGATTTTGGAGAATCTGTAATGAAAACTGCAACATTTACCAGTTTTTATTAGGGAAATAGTCGTAATTTCAGTTTTGGCCATAACAGTCGTAATTTCAGTTTCGGCCATAACAGTCGTAGTGGGTGGCAATAACAGAAAAAAATAATTTTAGGCTTTTTCTTCTTTGGTTTGAAAAAATAAAACTGAAGATGCATGTTGAACTGCACATGACATGTTCTTGGAATAGAAAACTTAATTGTTAGAGTATTATTCCTATGACCAGCTTAATATGTAAACTTCTCAATACTTAACTTGTGCTTTGGTTCCATTGCCTGTCAACGTGTTGTCATCCAACACCAGCAAGTACTATAAATCTCTTAATTCATGTTTTTTAAGAGGCATCATGCGAGGTTCTGCACATGACCTATTTTCAAACCTCGATTCATTATTTTTTAAAGAAAATTATAAAACTTTTACTTGTATGCAACATCCTTTTTAATATTCTCCTGGAACGCTATATGCTATTTCACATAGCAGATTTCGTTGGATCTCTTATCTCTTATCGATAATTATGATATGTGTCCATGCTTTTTCTTATGATCACTTCACAACTGAATAAGTTTGCTCATCATTTCATTATTGTCACAGCGGGTTACCAGGCCTAAAGGAGGAGTTAATGAGTGGCTTCATTGGCTTCCAGTCTCCCTCCATAAAAAAATATATTATATTGTAAGAACGGTTGGCAATTATTCCCACCTACTGTTGAGATCTCAACCAAAGAAGCTCAAGCCTTCAGAAAATGGTGTCAGTGACGGCTTGTTAGGTGTCTTAGAAGCTGATACAAAGCAAATAGTAAAGTTTGCTCATGAAACTTATGAGAAGTAAGTTCTTTTCCCTTTCTTTTTATATGCAAAACTGAATTAAGCTGTAATGATGTGTATGGCTTGGCTGCATACTTTGATTTTTTTTATGAAGACAGATTCAAATATCTGTGTGGCTTTACCATTAACTATCTTCGGAATGATGAATTTCTTTTTAACAGTAGCAGTATTCTAAATCTCACAGCATTATAATATTTATGCCAATTCACGTTCTAGTGCTTCTTGTAACCTGTATTCTCTTTCTTGTATTGTATCTTCATCTAGTTCTTTCTCTCCTTACAAATATTGATATGATTGATAATATGTCCAGGGAAGGACCTTTGTTGGTGGTTGCATGTGGAAGAGATACCATTTCTACTGCAAGTTCCATAAAAAGCTTAGCATCTCAGAATGTTTTTGTCGTTCAGGTCTGCAGATTTAACGCATGTTTTTCTTTTATCTACCTCTACTATTATATTTTGTAAATTAAGCAATGTTTTAGTGCACTCATAAAAATTTAGGACAACAATTTACTGGTAAAACGAAGGTGCTTAAAATGTATGACTCAAGTCAAAAGAAAAATTTACCACAGAACCATATGACCTACATTCTATGTTGTATGAAACATATTGTTGGACTGAAAAACTCCAACAAAAAAGTAAGATCAAGATGGGATTAGAAATGATATCATTAGAGAAAAAGTAGGTATAGCTCCTATTCTGGAAAAGAGGATAGAATTTATGTTATAGGCGGTTTGGACATGTGTGAACTGTGAAAAACTATGAAGCACCGACACCGGACACGACACCGACATGTCGACACCAATGATAATTTGAAAAAATGAATAAATTAAACGTAATCACAAGTGCCGGTGTTGTGTCGGTGCCGACATGACGCACCTTTTTTTCAGAGGTGTTGGTGTTACATAGATAAAAGACTTCAAAAAACAAAGCCCTTTTCATCCAATTCTTCAAAATAGACATTACAAGGGTAAATATTTCTAATCTTCTCCTGAATCCGCCTTGAAAATAGCGGCGAGCCAAAAATCTGCCATGAAAATATATACTCATAAAAAGAAGAAACAACACCATGAACACCAAAAAACATATTTCATAGGACTTAGAAAAATAGAATTTAAATAGACAAAACTAGTGTTAAAATACGAGAGACTAAGAGACATTTGAATAAACCGTGTGTCGAATAGCACAGCGGAAAATGATATATATATAGAGAATTTCAGATCAATAGTATTAATTACATATTAAATATATACTGATCCTATCCTAGAATATACTAGGGAATATTCTATACTGATCCTATCCTAGAATATATAAAGGAATATTCTAGAGAATATTCTTATTCTATATACAAATATGAACACTCCCCCTCAAGCTTGAGCATATAAATCAAATGCATCAAGTTTGTTACATATATAGTTGGTTTTGGGGCTTCGTAAAAATTTTGTAAACACATCGGTCAATTGGTAATTAGAGTTGACAAAGCTTGTGGCGATGTTGCCTGATTCGATCTTCTCTCTGACAAAGTGACAGTCTATCTCAATATGTTTGGTCCTCTTGTGGAAGACCGGATTTGAAGCAATATACAATACAACTTGATTATCACAAATAAGTGTCATTGGTTTTGCATCTACAATTCGAAGTTCCTTGAGCAACTGTTTTAATCAAATAAGTTCACAAGTTGCCATTGCCATGGCCATATATTCTGCTTCAGCGCTTGATCTGGCAACAACATTTTGTTTCTTACTTTTCCAGGATATGAGATTTCATCCAACAAGGACACAATACCCTGAGGTGGATCTTCTATCAATGGGTGATCCTGCCCAATCAACATCAGAGTATCCAACTATCTTAGTATGTCATTTGTTTTCATACACAAGACCTTTTCCTGGAGCACATTTGTTGTATCTTAGAATCCGGATAACAACATCCACGTGTTCCTGACAAGGGAAATTTAAGAACTGACTTACCACACTAACTACAAAAGAAATGTCAGGATGAGTGACTGTGAGATGATTCAACTTTCCAACTAATCTCCTGTATCTTCCTTGGTCAGATAAAGGCTCCCCCCTGATTGGGTAGTAGTTTGACACTTGGATCCATAGGAGTATCAGCTGGTTTTGCATTTAACAACCCTGTTTCTTCCAAAATATCTATAGCGTATTTCCGTTGGGAAATCACCAAGCCATCTTTGGTTTGGGCCATCTCAATTCCCAAGAAGTAGCGGAGTTTACCAAGATCTTTTGTTTGAAATTGATTCGAGAGATGTTGCTTTAACTGGAGTATTCCTTGTTGATCACTACCAGTTATGACAATATCATCTACATACACAATAAGATAGATACACCCTTGAGCTGAGTGACGATAAAATACAAAATGGTCAGCTTCACTATGGACCATATCAAACTATTGTACTACATTGTTGAATTTGTCAAACCAAGCTCTCGGAGATTGCTTAAGACCATAAAGAGACATGTGTAGCCTACAAACCATATTCGAGGACTCCTCTGAGCAACAAATCCAGGTGGTTGCTCTTCAAGATCACTATGTAAAAAGGCATTTTTGATGTCAAGTTGATGAAGATGCCAATGTCAAATGGCTAGAAGGAGTCTAACAAATGCCATCTTGGCTACGGACGAGAAGGTGTCACTATAATCTAACCCAAAAATCTGAGTGTATCCTTTGGCCACCAAGCGAGCTTTAAAACGATCAATCTTAACATCTGGTCCAACATTTACTGTATAAAGCCAACGACAACCTACTAAAGATTTTTCAGGGGGTAGAGGAACCAGTTCCCAGGTACCACTGCTTTGAAGAGCACACATTTCATCATTGCTTGCCTCCACTCGGGGTGAGATAATGCTTCACCTAGGAGTTTCTAGTGGGATAGGTTCCCTAGAATGATGGGGGATAATGGGAAATGGGACTTGCAGAAGAGGTGTTGGAGTACTTTCCTAAAGGGGTTCCGAAGTGACTTGGGTGGACTCAAAATATGGCACTGACTCGAAGAAGGTAACATCGGCCTCGGTCAGGTATCGTTGCAAAGTGTGTGAGTAGCAACAATAATCCTTTTGGGATCGATGATAACCAAGAAAGGCACACTTTAGTGATCGAGCTGATAGTTTATCAAGACCAGGGGAGAGATTATGCATAAAGCACGTAGACCCGAAGACTTGAGGAGGAATTGGGTGAAGAGGAGAGTTTGGAAACAGGATTGAATGAGGGATTTTATTATTAAGGACAAATGAGGGCATGCGATTTATGAGGTAACATGCCGTGAGCACAACATCCCCCCAAAACCGAAGAGGGACTTTACCATGGTGAAGTAGGGTCGGAGTGGTTTCTACGAGATGCCGGTTTTTGCGTTCGGATATCCCGTTTTGTTGAGGTGTATGAGAGCAAGATGTTTGGTGTAGAATACCATTAGATGACATAAAAGTTTGAAATTGTTGGATAAATATTCACGTGCATTGTCACTTTTTAAGGTACGAATAGACACACCTAACTGAGTTTTTATTTCTTTATAAAAATTTTCAAAAATTGAAAATAATTCTGATCGATTTTTCATTGAAAATAACCACGTGCAACGTGAAAAATCATCAATAAAGGTGACAAAATACCTAGGCTCAAGAGTAGAGACATTACGTGAGGGACCCCAAACATCAGAGTGAACTAAAGCAAAAGGGGACGAAGCTCATTTATTGACTCGATTGGGAAATTGGCTACGAGTATGTTTCCCTAACTGACACGACTCATAATGTAAATTAGATACCTTTGATAAACTTGACACCAACTTCTGTAATTTAGGAAGACTAGGATGACCTAACTGAGCATGGATAGTGAGTGGACAATCTTTGACTGAACATGTCTGAGATGACACTGAGAGGTAATAAAGACCTTGAGACTCACATCTGACGCCAATCGTCTGTCCCAAACTCCGATCCTGCAGGATGACATTACTATTAGTGAAGGTGACAATACAATCAAGAGAACGAGTTAAGTGACTGACTGAAAGTAAATTAAAGGGACAATTAGGTACATAAAGAACAAAAGTAACAGAGAGAAAAGGTAGAATTTGAACAGTACCAATTCCTTAGGATCGGGTTTGAGAACCATTGGCAGAAGTTATAGTAGGTAAGAAACCAGAGGTAGAGATGGAAGAGAAAAGATTTGTATTACCGGTAACATGATCAGACGCACTAGAATCAAGGATCCAAGGTCCAAGAGAAGATGATTGAGAGAGGCAAATGGATGAATTACCAGTATGTGCAACCGAAGCAGTAGAATTTGAGTTATGATAATTCTGATACCACCGGAGGAAATCATCGTAATTTGGCGCAATGTTCTGAGGAGTAGCCACGAGTATCAGATTTGGAACCAGAGCAGGGAGGCGATTTTCTAGTAAAAAAATGTTTTTTTTCTTGTGAACAGTAGCAGGCGGCGGTGAACAGTAACGGTGGGTTTGGCAAATTTTTTTTTCTTCTTTTGAACAGTAGCGACGACAGTGAACAATGGCGGCGGTGGTCGCTGGGAAAAAAAATTTAAAAGGTGAAGCAAACTGGAACGGCGACACGATTTGCAGAAGGAAATTTCTCACCGGAAGACAGTGGGTCAACCGGGTAGCGTACGGTGAAGATTTGTCTCTCAGTAGGCTCTGGATACCATATTAAAATACGAGAGACTAAGAGACATTTGAATAAACCGTGTGTCGAATAGCACAACGGAAAATGATACATATATAGAGAATTTCATATCAATAATATTAATTACATACTAAATATATGCTGATCCTATCCTAGAATATACTAGGGAATATTCAATACTGATCCTATCCTAGAATATACAAGGGAATATTCTGGAGAATATTCTTATTCTATATACAAATATCAACCACTAGAATTGAGGTCTCAATCACAGAAAAACAGAGCAATATACTGAGAAAAAGAAAAACAACAATATATTGAGAAAAAGAAAAACTGAACTTCTCTTCAAGTTTCAGACTTCAAAATAAAACAGAATTCAACTACTCTTCAAGTTCCAGAACACTAGGAGTAACAAATGACTTGGTGGAGTAGGAATTCTCCATGTCCACTTTCAATCTTTAAGGCAGTTAATTTACAAATCCTTGACATGATCTTGCTAGGAAATTAAGGGAATGGTTTGCTACTTCTGTGATCTCTTTCCTTTATGAAATTCTGTCTTTTTTACTTTATTTTCTTTACTTCTGATAATTATCACATTCAAGGCCTAAGTCGCAGTTCTGCTCCTGCTTGTGTTTGTGTTATATCATCCATGATATGAGCTGATGATGTCCACAATATTGCCGCCACATAACATTATGCAGTCTGCACTTGAAAGCCTTGTTGATGTCATGCCTAAATTGTGTGATTTTTAGTGTAAATTTCTCAAGTTCAGGAAGACATGCTTGTCCTAGACTTAATTAGTCAATAGTCATGAATCAAATCAGCATTAAATGATAAATGTCTTCTCTTCAATCCAAAATGCAATAAAACTTACATATGTGCTCTCTTTTAATAATGTTGGAGTATCTATATTTTGTTTTAAATTTCATTGTTGATATGGTGCTGTGTTATTGCACCCATCTATTTGATCTGACCTTCATTACTACCTAAAATATAGGCTCTGATTTTTAGTCTTATTTGTCATTGTTCATGTCTAATGGCCAGATACAACATCCAAGATTGCATTTGAATAGGTTCGACATGGTGATTACACCTAAGCATGACTATTATCCTCTGACTCCACAAGGACAAGAACAAGTTCCCCGGCTTATTCGAAGTTGGATAACTCCGCGTGATCCTCCGGATAGTCATGTGGTATGTATAATGTGCATATGATATGGCTATAAATAGCTTGTTGCTTTGACGGAGGAACTATGATTTTACTTTATCTTGGCCCCTATTAATTGCTAATATTTTATGTGGTAATGTACACTCAGGTTCTCACAACTGGAGCTTTACATCAAATAGATTTCACTGCAATACGTAGTGCTGCTGCTACTTGGCATGATGAATTTGCCCATGTCCACAGGCCCTTGCTCGCTGTCAACATTGGAGGCCCAACACGTAATTTCCATTTGTGAATTTGACTAATTTCCGTAATTAATCCTTTGATATCTAGTAAAACTCTGGGGAAAAGGATTTATGTTTTCATAACCAGTGACCAATATTTTTTGATTATTTGACTAATTTCCGTAATTGATTTAGGTAACTGTAGATATGGTGGAGACCTTGCAAAGCAGTTAGTGGCCTCTTTGCTCAGTGTTCTTACTAGTTGCGGGAGTGTTAGAATATCCTTTACAGAGAAGACTCCTCAAAAAGTATGGTCAATCCTTAAGTTTCTCAAAATATCATCACCGAGCAACACTTTTGTTTTCTACTCACATTTTCTTCATTCTCTGTGGTCTTTTAAACAGGTGGCCAACATCATAACGAAAGAACTTGGAAATAATCCAAAAGTTTATATTTGGGATGGGCAAGGTAAAATCTTATTTAGGTTTTCATGTAGATTATCTACTCAACATTTAATTTTTTAAAAAGATATCCTGTGGTTAACCCGACAATAACATACCACTTTCAGGACCTAACCCACACATGGGCCATCTAGCTTGGGCTGATGCATTTGTTGTCACAGCTGATTCCGTTAGTATGATAAGTGAAGCTTGCAGCACAGGGTATGCTTGTGAATAAGTATTTCTAATACTAGCACTAATTTAAATACTTTCTCTTGGTTCAAGTGTTTGATAGTAAGTTAATAAATTATTTTGTTTGTTCCACAGGAAGCCCGTTTACGTTGTGGGGTCTGAGCGTTGTAAATGGAAGTTTGCCGAATTTCACAAATCATTGAGAGAGCGGGGAGTTGTTCGGGCTTTTACAGGTTCCGAGGATGTAAGTAAAACTCGATGATCTTTTTATCCCAAGCAATAATAATTGTAGAAGGTTGCCTTTCTGGAATTATATATGCTGTCAAGTATGTATATTTTATAACGGATGTATTCTTAATTTCCAGATATCGGAGAGTTGGAGCTATCCACCCCTTAACGATACTGCTGATGCAGCTAACCGAGTTCGTGAAGCGCTTGCTGCCCGAGGGTGGAAGCTGAAGATATAAAATGCAATTCTAGGTTTATTATACTTTTCATCAAGTTTATTTTTTAATTGAATGGGATTCCCATTCATTGTTTGAACATAATGCCAACAGAAATTCCACAAATAGGAAATACAAGTGAAATTTTTAATTCTTTTTACCATAGCAATTTTTGAAGATGTAATGTGTGTAATATAAAGTTTAGTCACATGATTTTGGGTTTGAAAGAATGAGGAAAATAAAACAAATATGCTGAGGAACAAATATATTGAAGATGTAATGTGTGTAATATATTTAGTCACATGATTTTGGGGTTTGAAAGAATGAGGAAAATAAAACAAATATGCTGAAGAGCAAATATATGACATGTCAAGGTAAATGAAGAAGTGGGTTCTACAGTATTTAATGGTACAATCTCTCTAGTATATTTAGGGTTTAGGGAGGAGCTTTCTGAATTTTGAAAGTTATTTTTTTTGCAAGAGAATTAGAAAAAGAAATTTAAACAGACGTCTTGCACTATTTTGATTTGTAATATTTTGTGTGAAATTTTTATTTATTTAAAAGTTTATCAGAGTCTGGTTTAAAGTTTCAATCAAAGGACTTGTGAATTATGGATCTTCAGCTGCACTATTTTAATTCACATAAAATTTATAATTTTTATATAATTAACAAACTATGTATTGATAAGATGAAAAAATAAATCGTTCAATTTATATGTACCTTTATGCTTCCTAATGATCATGCAAGTCCTAGACACCTCGATATAGCAATGAGTAATAAACCGTTCAAATGATATGCACCTTTATATCAACATATACAATATTTGTTATATTAAATATGTAAGAAGACATCTCGATAAATAATCATGAGATACTATTTAGAGAAATAATGAAACAATATAAAATTTAATGTACTTTGACAAGTTTATTTATATTTTTAAAAGTTACAAAACATGTTCAACAAATAAATAATCTATCACAAGTATTCTAATACGATACTCAATTGCATCACGATGCAAGAAAATATATGTCACACATGTAGTTGAACTCACATATATTTGTTATAGCTGTCTCCAAACACACAAGAAGGAAGTGACGAGTAATAAATATATTAAAAAACCAAAAATATATTTAAAAAGTTTATTAAAGTCTGGTTTCGATCCAAAGACCCACGGGTTATAGGTCTACCACGTTTTTGCTGTGCCACTCAGATTCATATTGTAACATTCAGTATAATAGATATTTAGAAAATATATTATACATAATTTTAATTGGTACTTATACAAGTATAATATCTATATTTTCACATAATCTGCAGTGGAAGATCACGATAACAAAAGTCTTAGTGGGTTCTCTATTGTTAGACTTGTAACTTCACACACAGGGGGAGGGGGGATGAATTGCGTGGTTTGCAAAAATATGATTTTAAAAAACTTTTTGACATTAAAATCAGAGTTTGAAAAATATTTTTCTAAAATCTAAGCAGCAAAAAAATAAATATTAAAATGTGGAAAATAAAAAATTAGAAATAAAATGGGACACTGAGAATGAAAGAGGTTCTGACTAATCAAAAGGATCTACTCCTCTCCCCAAGAACCAGTCTTGAGAGTTTCCATTATATACTTGAGAACTTTTAGTAGGCGAAACTCACGAACTCTCTTATGCAAGGAAATGATGCTTGGCCTACAACAATAATAATACAAGACAGAAGATATGATCGTTTGCATCTTCTTCATAGGAATTGATGAGACTAAAGAGGCCAAGCTTCCTTCCCAACTGTAAATTGAAGTGATTAGAATTCTTTTCACAAAATTTTTAAGCTCAATATGGTTTAACAGGATAATCATTAACTTATTGAGATTTTAACAGGCTAATTTTCTAACCTATGATTTTAAACGGGCTAACCATAACCTAATGGTAAGTTCATCAATATTGATGATCTTTATACCTTGAATTAAAGAGGTTCGATCTAATCAAAAGGATCTACTCCTCTCCCCAAGAACTAGTCTTGAGAGTTTTCATTATATACTTGAGAGTTTTCATTATATACTTGAGAGTTTTTAATAGGCGAAACTCACGAACCCCTTATGCAAGTATAATATCTATATTTTCACATAATCTACAGTGGAAGATCACGATAACAAAAGTCTCAGTGGGTTCTCTATTGTTAGACTTGTACTTCACACACAGGGGGGGGGGGGGGGATGAATTGCGTGGTTTGCAAAAACATGATTTTAAAACTTTTTGAGATTAAAATCAGAGTTTGAAAATATTTTTCTAAAATCTAAGCAGCAGAAAAATAAATATTAAAATGTGGAAAATAAAAAGCTAGAAATAAAATGGGACACTGAGAATTAAAGAGGTTCATACTAATCAAAAGAATCTACTCCTCTCCCCAAGAACCAGTCTTGAGAGTTTCCATTATATACTTGAGAGCTTTTAGTAGGCGAAACTCAGCGAACTCTCTTATGCAAGGAAATGATGCTTGTCCTACAACAATAATAACACAAGACAGAAGATATGATCGTTTGCATCTTCTTCATAGGAATTGATGAGACTAAAGTGACCAACCTTCCTTCCCAACTGTAAATTGAAGTGATTAGACTTCTTTCCACGAAATTTTTAAGCTCAATATGGTTTAACAGGATAACCATTAACTTCTTGAGATTTTAACAGGATGATCTTCTAACCTATGGTTTTAAACGGGCTAACCATAACCTAATGGTAAGTTCATCAATATTGATGATATTTTATACCTTGAATTAAAGAGGTTCGATCTAATCAAAAGGATCTACTCCTCTCCCCAAGAACTAGTCTTGAGAGTTTCCATTATATACTTGAGAATTTTTAGTAGGTGAAACTCACGAACCCCCTTATGCAAGTATAATATCTATATTTTCACATAATCTGCAGTGGAAGATCACGATAACAAAAATCTCAGTGGGTTCTCTATTGTTATACTTGTAACTTCACACACAGGGGGGGGGGGGGGGGGGGGGGAGGGGGGATGAATTGCGTGGTTTGCAAAAACATGATTTTAAAAACTTTTGAGATTAAAATCAGAGTTTGAAAATATTTTTCTAAAATCTAAGCAGCAGAAAAATAAATATTAAAATGTGGAAAATAAAAAGCTAGAAATAAAATGGGACACTGAGAATTAAAGAGGTTCATACTAATCAAAAGGATCTACTCCTCTCCCCAAGAACCAGTCTTGAGAGTTTCCATTATATACTTGAGAGCTTTTAGTAGGAGAAACTCACGAACTCTCTTATGCAAGGAAATGATTCTTGTCCTACAACAATAATAATACAAGACAGAAGATATGATCGTTTGCATCTTCTTCATAGGAATTGATGAGACTAAAGTGGCCAAGTTTCCTTCTCAACTGTAAATTGAAGTGATTAGACTTCTTTCCATGAAATTTTTAAGCCCAATATGGTTTAACAGGATAACCATTAACTTCTTAAGATTTTAACAGGCTGATCTTCTAACCTATGGTTTTAAACGGGCTAACCATAACCTAATGGTAAGTTCATCAATATTGATGATCTTTATACCTTGAATTAAAGAGGTTAGATCTAATCAAAAGGATCTACTCCTCTCCCCAAGAACTAGTCTTGAGAGTTTCCATTATATACTTGAGAGCTTTTAGTAGGCGAAACTCACGAACCCCCTTATGCAAGGAAATGCTGCTTGTCCTCAATAATAATACAAGACAGAAGATATGATCGTTTGCATCTTCTCTATAGGAATTGATGAGACTAAAGTGGCAAAGCTTTCTTCCCAACTGTAAATTGAAGTGATTAGACTTCTTTCCACGGAATATTTAAGCTCAATATGATTTAACAGGATAACCATTAACCTCTTGAGATTTTAACAGGATGATCTTCTAACCTATGGTTTTAAACGGGCTAACCATAACCTAATGGTAAGTTCATCAATATTGATGATCTTTATCCCTTGAACAAACAAGGCTTACTAAGAGCCTTAAGGGAAGCTCGTAAGCACTAACAATCTTTAACCTAATCAAACATCGGAACTAATCACATAATCCCCAACCAAAGCTTTTAACAGATTTAGCTTCTAATCACATATATTTATCCCCAAAGTGGAATATGTTCATCCAAGGTGCTGATGTAGGAGGGCTTCCTATGAGTATCGAAGGAAAAGTCGCGCGTCAGAACGATTCAAAAATATTTATGCAAGTTTAGCATTCGATGTCAGAATTTATCGCAATTATAGCGTTTCAGGCCGAAATCAACAATTTACTATTTTGTTTCATTTTGGATTTGATTTTATTTAGGATTTGATTCTATTTAAGATTTGATTATATTTAGGATTGATTCTATTTTTAATTTGATTCTATTTAAAATTTGATTACATTTTAGATTTGATTATGTTTTGGATTAAAAGATTTGATTCGTTTTAGATTAAAAGATTTGATTCTATTTTAGATTAAAAGTCCATTAGGGTCTCTTTAAGTCCATTAGGGTCTCTTTAAGCCAATTAGGGCTATTTTGTTTTACATATTTAAAGACCTTTGGCGTGGCCATAAGGATTTTTTTCATCTTTCATTATAATAAAATCAGAGTTCTTTTCACTTTCTGGTGGATTCCAGAGCTTATCTGATAGGTTTTGTGCTTGCAACCTGTATATTCATTCTAGGTTTAGCGCTTTCTAATCCCTAGGGCTTCCAACTGTGTCAGTTGGAATCAGAGCAGGTTTCTCCTGTTCTTTTCGTAGCCTGACAACCATGGCGGATCAACCATCAACCAGAGCAGATTTTGAGGAAATCACTACGGCTTTTACCGCGACTCTAACTGCTTTGAATGAACAGATGGAAAATTTAGCAAATCAGGTGAAGAACGCCAATAACAAATGGAATCAATGAAGAGACGGATAAAAGGACAAGTAATGGGTGAAAAACTTTCGGATAATCCAATTTCTGTTCAACATCCACCATTCATAATGGATCAAACAATGCATCAAACATGGACAATAAAAATCATTAGGCCTACATAAGTC